AGAGAGGAGTTATAGAGCCTGATGGCATGAGGGACAAAGGAGTTCCTGAGTCTGTTGGTCCTACATTTGGGAAGGAGCAGCCTCCCACTGAACAGGCTCCTCTGGTTGCTGATGACGGTGTGCAGTTAAGCAGCTTGTGGTGAAGTGGCACCGCTCCTCCTTCACCTCATGATGTGACATTTGCTCCAGGATGAACATTTAATCATAAAAGCTTATTATATATTTAATAAGCCCAGATAGTCTTTTTCTATAATTGGCTAATAAACTGCCATATGAGGCTTAGAGAAGACTTTTACATTTTAGCTGCACCAGACAAATTTATTTATTTATTTTTTTGGTCCAATATGGCTCTTTGAACAGTTTGTGTTGCCGACCCCTGATCTGGTGGAAAGCCCACATGAAATTTTTTTAGGGTCTTTATCTGTTGTTGTTGAACTTTATGTGACTTTTTCTTGCTGCTCTCTGTGTTTGAAATTTCCCCACAGGAACAAAGAAAGCTCTTTGGATTAATTTAGTCTTTGCTCTCTCATCAGAGGTTTCCCAACGAGGGTCTTGCCAACGTGGTGAGGAACGTCTTCGACTTCGACTCGTACAATAAGGACACGCGGGAGGTTTTGATCGAGGCTCTGCACAAGCATGGAATCCCCATCGGGGCCAAGCCAACCTCGGTCCATCTGGCTAAGGAGTAAGAGCATCACGGATAGGAGCTTTACCAGTTTGATGTTATGGGGAAACTGGGAGCAGAGCCCTCAGAGTTAAATCCCAGAGTTGGTGACTCTGCTAGGAGGCTGTTTATGCCCCCTTTGTTCTGATTGGTCAGCTCCAGCGGCGTGATAAAGCCTCATGTAATCGTTAATCTGTCGCAGATGTCCAAAACAATAAAAAATAACCTCAGAATATTCCAGATTGCAGCTCTGCGCTGGTGGCAACGCGAAGCCACGCCCCCATAAGGAGGTAAATGTAGGGAGCATGTGTTTCTGTGGAGGCGGCCATTGCTAATATCTTCCTGTTTGTTGTTGCTAATTCCTCTAGATTATTAAATCCCAGCTGAGGACATAAAGGTGCTGATCAAATATAAAGTTCATTCTTAACCTCAAAAAGCTAAACCCAGAGTTAGCCTTGACCTAAGACGTGTAGCTCAGTCTGAAAGATTGATTAGATTAAGATTTCAGAGTTAAGAATACATAGCGTAAATTTGGAAAAATGGAAATTCAGAAAGAAAACTGAAAAATGTGTTTTAATCAAAAACAGGTTTTATGAATAACTGCTGTTTCTCAGATTTAGTTTCAATGTTTGAGTTTTAATAAATTCACATTTATCTCCTGATGGAATAAGAGGGAGAAAAGGATGGATGGATGGATGATGGATGGATGGATGGATGGATGGATGGATGGATGATGGATGGATGGATGGATGATGGATGATTGATGGATGGATGAATGGATGGATGGATGAACAGACAGATGGATGATGGATGGATGGATGGATGATGGATGATTGATGGATGATGGATGGATGGATGATGGATGGATGGATGATGGATGGATGATGGATGGATGGATGATGGATGGATGATGGATGGATGGATGATGGATGGATGATGGATGGATGGAGGATGGATGGATGGATGGATGGATGATCTCTTGTGGGGGCGGGGCTTTCCTTTGTAGTGAGGAATGAAGAAGCATTTCTATTGGTTTGCTGGACGTTAGGAAGCTTTTCATTGGTTCAGAGCGACTGGCTGGATTTGGATGGAAGTGAAGCTTATTTTGAAAAGAAGGCAGTTCTTAAAGCAGAAATCAGAAAAATTTATGAAAACAAAAAAATCTGTTTAAAATATTTTTAAAATCATTTAAAGAAAAACAATATGACAGAAATATTTTTTTTTAAATCAAGGAAAACAGCAGTTACTTGTTTTAAATAAAGCCTGTTTTTAAAGTTTCATGTCTGGATTTTAGCTTTTATTAACTTTAGTTGATTAAATGTGTTGTTTGCTCGCAGCAACAATAGATCCCTCCATACGGAGGCGCTGTGGAGCATCAGCACTGGTTAAAGCTGTCCTGGTTAAAGCTGTCCTAGTTAAAGCTGTCCTGGTTAAAGCTGTCCTGGTTAAAGCTAAGGTTTAGTTTAGGCGACAGTCCGACCAGGTGAGCTTCAGGTTTGGTGTTTGATGGTCAGAAAACGGTCGAGGCTGAATCCCATTTCTTTTCATCTGAGCCTCTGAAAGCTGCAGCTGCTTTGATTGCTTCCATGAAGTGTTAAAGGTCTCCGTCCTTCACATACCGCAGTTATTTCTCACCATCATAGAACGTCTCCTTTCACCAAACTGTCTCCAATAATGTACAGACTGTTCTTTGAATAAAGGAAAATACTTGTTTCCTCTGTCTCCTGTGGTTTTATTTGTATTTATCTAAAATCCACCTTCAGTTTTGTCCTTTTCCAAAGAAAAGAAGCAGTGATCAGAGCAGAAACCAGTATTTTCCTCCAGCCGTTGCTGTTTGCTGGTGTTTTAACGCTTTATTGCTGCATCTTGAAGCGTTTATCTCACAGCGGCAGCGTCACTCACATCGTTTGGACGTGAAAGCAAATATTTGGCGTCCTGACTTCCAATTTTGGACATGAAAACATGAAGCGGCTCATCTGCTGCGTTTCTATTCATAGATTTATTTATAGTCGTAGGATCACCTTTGCCCCTGCAATCTGGGGAATGTGAGCGTTTTGTGATCAGGCTGCATCTTCCAGCCCACCTGCAGCCCGTAGCTGTGATCCATGACCCCTCCCCAGAGACGCAGCGTTAGTCCCCTGGTGCCGCTGCCCATCGGAGCCCCTGAAGAACAGAACTTTGTTTTCATTTATGTGGGCAATAAAAGCAGTTCTAACCATAATTAACTCAGATAAAAAAATGGGATGATCTGTGTTTATCCCTGGAAATGATTTATTTGTGTGTGTTTCCAGTTTCATGGGTTTGTTGTCTCTAGGTTACCGCTGCCGGAGGTCAGGATGACGGGATACTGGACCTTAAACCAAGGTGGCAACACTCGCCGTAAACTGCTCTGTCCCACTGAGACACGCGCAGTAGACGTCAAGGTATAAACCAAGCACACGGAGAAATGAAGGCTTCTTTTGGAAATAATTCAGCAAACATCTGTTCCTTCAATAGAATAGAATAGAATTCAGCTTTATTGTCATTAATCCAGTTCAGTTCAACCTCCAGCAGAACCAGGCTCAGTGTGAGCGGCCATCTGCTGACGCCCACTGGGGTTCAAGGAGACAGAAGCAGACATCGA